CACACACACACACACTCAGGGACACCATCTCCCCTCATGTTTGTTCATGTTTTTACCTTAATCCTCCCACTGAAGCTTTGTACTCTCTATTTTGTAGGAAGGATAAAGAACAATGTGACTCCCTGTTTTGTAGAAAGCATAAAGAAAAGTGTGACTCTCTATTTTGATGTTTTTTGAGAAAAACTAAATATTCTTACAAGTATGTGGAAATTACCCAGCCTCATTTTCTCGGATAAAATAGCGGGCACCTTTTCCTGGACCAAAATAACTTATTTCCTTTTGAGATATAGCAGGAATGTTGGTAGGAGCGATCAGATCACTGTGACAAATGATCACAAACTTGCTTTTCTTGTATGAAACACAAACAGATTTTTATAGTGTATAGTCGCCTGTTTGATCCACACATATAACAAGCATTCCATTCTGCTCACCGTTTGCTTTGTGTGTTACTTTGCTATAAAAAATAATTTTCTGCTCTTGACTGGTATATATAATCAAGATACATGTATCAGACATCATCATATAATCATCTTCATGTATTTCCTGAGTTATTTTGTAGCACTGTATTTGTTTCTGACAGTCTCACAGCACATTTTAATTACCCAAACCAGAACAGCAGCATAACAAAAGGTAAACAAGCAGAGGAAAAAAAGCACTGTATCGACACTTGTACTTCTCTTTCACTCTTTAAAATGGGCTGTCTTTTGTTCATATGGTATGTTTTTCCATTCATTTTTGTGATTATGTCTCATCTTAATTTTTCCTAGATTTTAAGAAATTAAAGCATTATGTCGACACATGGATGAAAAAAAAGAAGCTTCCAATTATAAACTTCTGTAATATCTTAATACTCTACAGTGTATATAAGAATGTATAAAAAAAAGTCAAAGATCTTCTCTTTTTCAATACCTGGCTTGTATGTTTGTATGTTGTATGCTTGTTTGATTGTATGTATGTTCTTTATATTTACTCCAAACTTACAAATATAGCGACTACAAACTCAAACTGCTTTAAAATGCTTGCCTCTTTCTTTATTTTTCACATTTAGAGTTTTCAACAACAAAAACAACAGCAAAAAAAGGAGTGTCCATATCCTTTGAAATATTAATTTCTAGCATCTCCAATATTTTGTTGTTTGGCCACAGACTTTTACTTGTTTTCACTTTCACTTATGTTGTACAGAAAAATAGAAGCTAAGTAATTAGGTGTATTTGATATAATGATTTTAAATAAAGCAAATAATAGCACACCATCAGGTAGTATTGGCACAGACACAAAAGTTGACTCATAACTATAAGTGATCATAAGCAGGTGATTCATTGTTTTAAAAAAAATAGCATCCATTTGATTTAATCTCATGTAAGAAGATTAATTTCTAAATGGTTTATGTATTCCTTAATGAGAGCAGAAGCAGATTTTTAGCAAAACTTTTTCAATTAGCAAACTTTTTCTTATTTAACTTAACCTATGCCCACATTCTTAAAGGCACTAATTAAAAGAAAAAAAAAAGTTCTGACTTGTAGTCCTTCATTTGTACCTATAGGTGGAGACATTGCCTTTTCCAATTTGTCAGTGACAACATTATTGAGAGGGAGCTCACTAAAATGAACAGATTCCTCAGGACAAAAGGCAAAATATTTTGACAAGCAGAGAGGAGGCTCATTGTTACACACATTTCAGAAGTGGGATATCCAGACATTTCCAAAGCTAAAAATTGCTAATGCTGCTACACCTCAAACAGGATTTTCCCCTGGGTAATAATGATTGATTGAATATGACATTAGTATTTCTTAACCATACACCTTTAATATTTTATTTTTTATTTCTTTTGGTGGGGGGGGGGGGGGGCTAGGTTACGCTCTTGTAGTGCCAGTTCAATAAGTGTTTGGCAGATGCGTCTCTGTTCTGAAATAGAGAGGTAATGTTTGACATGGGTCTCATCCTGCCTGAACTGATGCCTGTTGACAGACTGACTTAATCTATCCAGGAGACTATTCTGTTGGGGTTATCCCAGAAGGCTAATCATCAGTGATATGTGTGAAAAGGTGATGAGCCTCTTATGAAATAGTAATTGGGTTGCAAGGAGAAGACTGTGAAAAAGCTCAAATGAGCAAGATTGAAAGATAGAAAATAAAATACTTAATTTAAGTTTGAAACCATTATGGGAAACTTAACATTAATCTTATAACGCCAAAGAGTAATTTTACATCGGTGTGCATGAGAAAGATAAACAGTCATAAAGTGAGAGAGGACATCTGTGCTCAGTGAATGTGAAGGCAAATTGGTCTCGACAGTTGTGCCACCCCCCTTCTCTCACTTCGCCATATCTCTGTTCCCATGGTCATCCCCACAACTCAAGAGATCCCTTGTCTCTTTAGATTAACCAGAGTGATAGGGAGACACCGGCTAATGTGCCAGTCAACTTTCCCTTCCCCTTCCCCTTTGTCTTTAGGCTGTTCTTCCTTCTGTGACCCTCATCAGTAACAAAAACCCTTCGACTAGGGTGCTAAACTAACAGAGAAGACCCCCCTTCCCTCCTCCTGGCTTTCCCTTTATCTCTTATTTAACTGACAGACTCTATCTGACCGGTGGAGGACTGACAAGTGGGACGGCCGAGGTGAAGTGGCGGTAGGGAAGTGCCACTCATTGTAGTGTTATCAGCACAAAGGCCAACAACAGACACCTAATCTGACCTGGCTGATGGCTGGATGGCTGGTGGCTTATTGGCTGGGTTTCTGCTGGGAAGCAGATTCTGCCAAACCCCGAGATACATCGAGGGGAGGATAAGCACAGACACGCACAAATGTACACACATGAAACACACATTCATGTATACACACAACCGCAGACGCCCACTATTCTAAACTCCTGTTACGGAAGCAACCTCCTTCTCCTTGCCACTCCTCAACCCCTGCCTGTCATTGTCTAACTAATAGTTTGCTGCAACTTTTTGTGATTAATTATATGTTTGGGAGAGGTGTCAGTTTACAGGAGACAAAAATCTTACCACAGCAGTCTTATAACTCTGTGTTCAGCCTTCCTTCTTTACTGTACTGTAGCTGCAAGCACCTGTGTGCAAGCGTGAGCGAATGGGACTTGTTTTCTTTTTGGCTCATTGTTCTGCAGAAGCAAACATGAAGGCCAGGGTCACCCCATCTGTACTCAAGGCTTTAGGTTACCTTACCAATATTTGTGCCAGAGGACTGCCCGGTTGGATCTTCCCCACTCCAAAGTGCTATGAAACATTCAGTGCCCACAGTGCTCTGCTTTCGTAAAGGCTTGGCAGCGCTCAGGCATGCAGTGCTATTCTTAAAACACTTAAGAAGCTCCTGTTTTTCTCTTCCCTTGCTGAAATAAAGATCTGTGTTTGTAAGCACCTGTCTGTAAGAGCACTCACTGAGAAAATGGGTCTCAATTTCTTTTTTACCGGAGGCAACATTTCATGCATTGGATCAAACATTACCCACTGGCAATAGAAACTCCACTGCAACCCTTGGTGGTGTATCAAAATGTGAATCCACCACTGATGCTATTTGCTTGTGAGACGATCGCAAGGCTACAACTGTTATCTGGGAAGAATTTCTCTAAACTATTATGCTTCCTCAACATAAATCAGCTTTAGCTTGGTTTATAATTCCATCTGGTATAAGTCTTGATTAAACCTTTGCTTTTAGACATCTCTCTTGTTCTTGACATTGTCATTTTTTTTTCCCTTTAAAGATAATCTTCAAAACCGCTGAAGAAGATAACGCCTCGGAAGCTCCTGATGGCTCCAGCCAAGATTTTACTGTCAGCATAGAAACTGGCCCATTAACTTCTGAAGCCCTCTTTGGCAAAGCTCCCTTTCCCCTCCATTGCCATCAAAAAGCTATTTCCCTCGGCCAGTCCCACACAACCCTAACAATGAACAGAGGATTAGAACATCTCTCTGTCTTGAAGCAAAAAAAGTAAAAATGGATTTTTAAAAAATCTCTTTTTACCAGTCATTGGTGAAGACTAGTTGGCAGCATTTCCTCCTTGGGATTTTTCCTGACATGATTCCCAAGAGGCGGTTTTTGCTTTTACGATTCCTGTGCTTGCAATCAGCCAACATGTGGCATTGTGATCCGATCATAGAGATTTTTTTTTTCAGTTCGTAAATGGTTAAGTCTTTCAGTCTATTGTGAAGGAATCTTCAAAGCGGTTGGAAACCACAGGGGAACATTGGTAGTTGTTAATTAATGCAACAAACTCTCTACAACTGCTTTATTTTCCTGATTCCTAAGATGAAAAAAAAAATCCTGCTTTGAATCTAGCAACAGGCTCGTCCAAATCTGTTACCTCATCTTCAAGCCGTTATCCTGGACAATGAAATGCTGTTGTTCCTCTGAAACCATAAGTGATTTTTATTAACTCTGCTGTGGCTCCAGAAGAAATCTCTCTCTCTCTGGTTTAGGTTTATTGGATTTTAGTTCATACCGATCATTTATGTTTCCATTCAGTAAATTGACGTAAAATGTGTTATGCTAAAATGATCTTTTCTGGTCTTTATGACTATCATTGAATTTGAAAGAAATGGGAAACATGACAGAGGCTGTGGTAACCGCT